GTAGAGAAAGATGCTTTAGTGATAATCACTGCAATGTGTAAATGTAAGTATCTTTTGTTGCGATACCCGCTTCAAGTTATATGCCGATGTCAGGTCTGTATCATTTATGTATGATAATCGAAGGCATACAAAAGTAAAAAAAATGCCAAAATATCAACAAATGGAGAATTTATACATGTTCAATAGACACAATTAAAAGCATCTACAGCAATATTATTCTTCCCAGGTCGATATTTGATATCAAAACTTAGTTCACCAAGCTCCATTCTCCATTCATTGATTTTGGCATTTTTAATGAGGAAATATGCCATCCAGGGGTATCAAGATTCCGGCATTTTGTAAAATCAAAAAATCTCTCCTTTTCTACCTTTTTATCATGCAGAGTTTGTGCCAAGTTAAAACCTCAGTTTTATCAACCTCCCAAAGTACGCTGATAAAAGCTAATGGATCTATGGAACATATCGGTATTAATTTTAAAGGGCTTCCCCCAACAGCTACTCATAATCCGTACTTGTTAGTGATTGTCGATGAATATTCTCGGTAACCATTTTCATTTCCATTCCCCAAATATTCACACTTTCACAGTTATTTACTGCCTAGAAACTTTGTTTAGTATGTGTGGAATGCCAAGTTATATTCACTCAGATAAAGTTCTTTCATATAGTGAGAATTGAAGGAGTATTCTGGGAATTAGTTTTACCACAATCTCTTCATTCTATTCGATCTCTTGTGTCTGCTACTAACTGTACACCATGTGAGCAATTCTTCAAGTTTCAAATGCATATTTCTCATGGAAGCTCACTCTCATCTTGGTTAATGAGACCTGGACCTGTACTTTTAAGATGATTTGTTCATACTAGCAAGTGCAACCCCTTAGTAGATAAAGTTGAACTGATTGATAGCAATCCAACCTATGCCAACATCAAGTATCCTGACTGAAGACAATCAACTGCATCTGTCCGAGATTTGGCTCCCTGTCATGATCAGTCAGAACCCTCTTCCAGCCTCAGAAATCAAACCATATATCAAAGCCCGCAGATTCTTAGTACCTTTAAATAAAATCCTATAATTATTCCCAGTTAGATCTTCTTACAGCAGGAGGAATAAAAATTGACCAGGTCATTCTTGTTGATAGCTTTACTGTAAACAAGAAGTAAACTGAAGTTCATTATTATTTCTGTGGTGCATGATATCTAGGAAGGGTAAGTTTTCCTTTTGTCTTTATTCATATTGTCCTTTTACAGATATACTCTACATTACATATATAAAATTACATATAAGGTATATTTAGGCAGAAAAAATTAATTCAAATAAATTTGTTTAAAAAGAACCAATAAGGTCTGTCTGTTTAATTTTTTTTATTTTACTTTATCAAGATGCTGGTTAACAAACTGATTACTGCTAGCAACATGCAAATCACAGCCCTCAAATTCTATAAAATTGTGTGTGTGTATTACTTGGCTACATAAAAACACACACACCTAATACCCCATTATGTCCTTTAATCTCACAAATTCCAACCTCTGTATATCAATTAACAAAAATGAATTGATACTACAATACTTACCCAGTAAGTATAGCATTAACTCTACAAGCAAATTCTTCTATAATTCCACTAACCTCCCCATATATATCCATTACACCAACAACACCTTCATATTAGCCTAGCTAAAATAAACCTTAGAGAAAAACTCCCTTCTAAACTTTCTTTCTTGAAACTTTTATTTTAGTTTTAATTTCAAGCTAACTGATTAAATTTGATATTTCTAATAAGCAAAATACTTTGCTGTATTTCAAAAACTAATTTAATTGACTTGAATTGCTAAAATAGCTGATTAACACCCTATTTTAGTCATCATTCATTGCAATTAAAAAATCTTCCAAAAATAAAAAAATACTTTTTTGAGACTTTATTTGAGGAATATTAACAGATTTAAAGTATAATTAATATGATTTGAAACAAATATTATTTAGTTTAAGTTTAAAATATTGCAGAAATACATTTTTTATCCTGACTGTAGCTGTTTTGACATGTTGACAGTCTGATGACAGGTCTAATTTTGTTCTACAAACTTTAACTGTAAAACATAATTTAAGAAAATGACATAAGCACCTTTCTTATATAATTTTTAAGTTTAAGTACTCAGTAATCTTAAAAATTTAGGAAAATATTTTCCATAATCTAATGTTTTATTAAATTTTAGAAATGTTGACTATAGTTATCAATTTTTAAATTTTAGAAGTGTTGACTAGTTATCACTTTTAATTTACTATAGTTATCACTTTTATTTTCTGATGGTTAACTGTACTTACAAAAATCAGCATGTTTATACACAAAAAATATTCAAAATTCTTTTAAAAATATTGTTGTTTGATGGTTTGTATTAAGCTTTCCCATTTATGATTAGTAAATATAGTTTTCACTTAATAATATCATCTAAAAGGCTGAAATTAATACAGAATTTTAAAATATTTGAGACTTAATAAATGTTCTAATTAAAATTTAAAAATATGAAAACAATTCTTGTAAAAATTCATCAAAAAAAAAGATTTTCTTAATACAATAGTGTCCTCAATATATCTTGGTTATAAAAGCAATTAAAAGCTTTTCTAATTAAATAATGTCATAGTTTTATTACATTTCTTATTTTACAATTCAGAGCAAATTTTTTGATGATTTTTATTCTGCTTTTAACTAATATAAATATGAAGAGGCTGAAATTTCAATTTCTCAAAATTTCATGAAATTAAGTAAGTAGAAGAAACACATGTAAAAAAAATCATATTTTTTACCAAGATTTATAAAAATAATTTCATTCATTTGTGAATTAGCCCTGAAAATGTCATTGAAATCTGACAATTATTTGATTTTTGCAAAAATTTCCAAAATAATGTGTTTATAATGCCAAAAAAGATGCTAAAAATCCCTATACTAATCTTTGGCTCACCTACTGACAAGATTTTTAACCAAAATTTTGAACATGTTAGAAAGGATTAAATATTTAAGAAAATAATCAAAAAAATACTTTGGTCTTTTGACGATAAAACTTTGTTTTTGTCAAGTTTTTTTTTTCATCATGATTTGCTCATTTTTAGAGGTACCTACTTTACTTACAAACTCAATATTAATAATAAAATCTCTTTCTTCAATATCTTAGTTGACACCAACATCCATAACTTTACCACTTCTCATTATAAAAAATCCAATAGCAAAAACTTGAGTCTACTCAACTACAAAAATGACTTTCCTCACAGATACAAAATAGCTGTTATAAAAAGCATGATTTACAGGACAAAAATAATCTCTTTTTTGAACATATTATTGTATAAGGAACAAACTCTAATAAGCAATAACTTCCCTAACCATGTTGTTAATGAACAAATAAAATTAGCCATGATGAAATTTAGGAAAAACTCACCCTGATGCAAACAAAAAAATAAAAAAAATAACCCTGATACAAACAAAAATAAACACAATTTATTCTATTGTAACCAGATGTGCTCTAATTATAAACAAAATGAAAAAAACAGTTAAAAATATAATTGAATAATATATATCACTCAACAATCCTAACAAAGACCTTAGATTTATCATCTACTATAAAACATTTAAAATATCTAATCTGATCATTACCAACAACATAGGACCTCAAAAGTACCTAGTGTGTAAAAATAATGTTGTTTATGAATTATAATGCCCCCCAGGAGATTGCATCTCAAATAATAAAAAAAAAGAAATTCTTACATTGGACACACAGGCACCACATCTCTTGCAGGTTGTTATATATATATATATATATATATATATATATATAGTGCAACATACAAACTAAATTAAATGTCTGTTTATGACAGTAATGTTACTAAACCTGTATTAACTAATCATAGCTTTATCAGATGAACTTATTTTTAAATAATTAAGAATAACAATAGCTTTGCATAGTAATTCCCTTTTAATAAAATTAATACAATAGCATTTGTTTTCAGTAGGTGCATAGGGTGCATTATATAAATATTATTTAAATTTCTTGAATCAAGATATTTTAGTAAAGTAAGTGGTAGCATCAAGAACTGTAATCATGTGAAAAACAGAAGTACTTATTTCAGAAAATCAGCACATATATTGCAGAGTGTAAAATGCCATAAGATAACTGCATCCAGAAAAGTTCATCTTATTAAAAATATTTCTGAATAATTTCTATCATCATCATTATCAACAGCAAAACTGCTACATAGATAAGAATTTATTTCAATTTAAATTACACATAATTGAATAATGTGAATCCACTTCACTGATCCTGATTTCTCTCTTCCTCTACAGTTGAGAGTTCCTGTTTAGGATCTGTCATCTAAACTATAGCTTCCACAGGGCAATAAAGAGATGAAATGAGCATTTCATGATGCCAGTTTTGAAGTATGATTAAAGTTTAATATTTAAGATTCATCACAGAGAACTTGACTCGCTGATGTATTAAATAGCTTTTAAAATGGCTTTCTGTAAGACAATATTCCAACGAAAAACTTTGTTTTAAGATGCTTTAGGGGTTGCTTAATACATATTTAATAATTATATTTTGTCTTTTAAATATCATTTTTCCACTACATTGAACATTGTTTGATATCCACAGTTATTAATACTATGACCCCATACTATGAGTTTTTGTCATATCTATATTTTATGAGCTCTAATTCTCTTTCTATGCTAACAGAATGAGCATCAACACTAGAAAACCATATTTAAAATATCTTTTTCTCTATAAACAAAGGAAGAGATTCAGAGTATCACTTGTCAATTGTGTGCAGCATTCATCTTTACTGAAATGATTTTGTGACAAATTCTGTTCTAGGAAAATTTTGCATTTGATGAAACAGTTCCCTTAAAATTGCCAATAAACAAATTCTGATAACTTGATTTAAAACCTGATGTAATATGATCATATGCTAGAATGTTTTAACACTAAAGCAAAAACAATAAGGTTATATTAATCAAATTTGCTTACCATGCACTCTCCATGTTGGCTTCATTTGATGACGCAAACATGAAATATTTTGATAACAAAGTACAGCTGCATCCAATGCATTTACTCCATTCCATGGGGCACTAGAAGCATGAGATGCCTTCCCTGTATACTGAATATTCAATCTGAAAATAAACAGTAAATTATTCTTACAATTCTGGAAAATAAGCATATTTGATAAGAATGAATATTTCTTAAAAATGCTTAAGTTTCTTGTATTATTTAAATATCTTTAGTTTTTAAAGATTAGACTATTTTGTAATTAATATAAAAGACAGAACAGCAATCATAAAATTTAAGGACAAAACTACTATGTAATAACTGATTTATATATATTATTCAATTCATTATTATAACTATATTTTTTCTTTCAGGAATTTATGGTAAAATTTTTCAGGCATCAAGCTTTCTTTTTTTAATAATTTTAATTATAAAGCACTAAATGATTACATAATGTAATGATTACAATCTCTCGTCAGAAGAGCATCTGTTCAATGATCACTACATGATAATGTACACAGATATGACTTTTCAGTTCAGCATCAGTCTTGCATGATTGTAGATGTGACACTCAAACTGTCCACCTTTAGAGGTCACTGGCTGTATATTTTGGAATGCCTCATCAAACCAACAACTGACTTAAATACTAAGCTACATGTAGTATAGTTATATTGTGATGGTCATGGTGACAAAACTTCCTTGCAAGCTGCTCAATTTCGTTTTGGCCTATACAATTTTACATGGTATACCAAACAAGTTTGCTCTTGAAAGATAAAAACGTCCATTACACTTCAATTCTTGTAGGATGTCTGCAGGCACTGTACTTGTACCTTTCTTTAAGAGTGAATACTTTAATGCAGCCTACTTCACTTGCTTTCATTTCAAAATCACTACATCAATTCTGGATGAGCTTCCCCCAATTTGCAAAACTCTTGACCAAATTTTCCCAATTGTCCACATCAATCTCCAGAGCTTTTAAGTTGCTTTTTACAACATCCTTAAACCACTTTGGTCTATGCTGCATCTTTTCCCCTCCAGTTAGCTCCCTATAAAATATCTTTTATATGAGCTTCCCATCATCTATCCTGACATGATCAGCACAGCACATCTGGTTCAGAATTATGCTTTTCTTGATACTTGTGTTGCATGTTCTCTCAAGACCAACCGTATGCCATTTGAGGCTTAACATTCTCCATATTCAATACTAATACAATCTTTCAAAAACAGCTTAATACAAGAGTGGCTTGAAATGTCCATAGGATGATTATGACGGTAATGCTGTGAAATCTTGCATGCATTAATTTCATCTCTTATCAATAAATGCATTGTTTCTTTCCAGGGAAAGTGACATCTGACTTTTCAAAGAAGACTTCAATAGTAACTACTAGCAACTTGAAAATAGATAAAATTATTATCATTATGGTGTAATCAAGTACCTGCAGAAAAAAGGTTTAGCCCCCAAAGACATTCATGTTGCTACATTAGATGTCATTTCTGTTCTTTATCAACAGTGCAAAAATCTGGATGTCCTGCAATTGCTACCACTGAAGAAAACATTGATTGTGTTCACCATATAGTGACTGATGACAGGTGATTGTCTATAAATCAAATAGCCAATGCTATTAGCATATTCCATTAGAGAGTTGAGAATATTCTGCACAACAAACTTGGTTTCTGCTCAGTGGGTGCCATGTGGGTGAAACCTGATCAAAAGCACAGCAGGCAGATCACATCACGGGAAAATATGACATTGTTCAAGGCAGATCCAGCTGTTTTCCTTCAATGTTCAAGGATGAGTGCTGGGTTCATCACTTTGAGCCAGAGAAAAAGACACAATCCATGGAGTTGAAACCTCCTCCACCCCTGCTCCAAAAAAGGCCAAGTCCTTGGTTTCAATGGCTGCTGTGTGTGACTGTGGCCTTGAACTGGTTTATCACCCTCCCTATTCTCTTGATTAAAACCCATCTGACTATTATCTGTTCTCCAACATGAAAAAAAAAAACACTTGGCTGAGAACCAGTATCATAGTGATGATGACATCATATCTGCTGTTGATGACATTTTTGACCAACAGGATGAAAGTTTCTTCTCCAATGAGATTCAAGCACTGCAACACCAATAGAAGAAGTGTGTGGACCACAAGGAGGACTATGTTGAAAAATAAGTCTCATTTGTTCACATTTCATGGGGTATTATGGTCAGCCTATGGACTTTTCTGTGACACCATTTGGCGCTGGTAAATGAAAAGAAGGATTAATGAATAGAACGATGGATATACCAAGTGTGTGCTGGTAAATAATAAGAAAGGGTTAATGAATATAATGATGGACAGACTGTGAGAAAGATTGAAGATTTCTCTTTCCAAAAAGCTTAATTCTCAAGAAACAAGGAGAATTACTTAAAGCAATATTATCACAAGAGGGCCTTGTGGCAATCTTTTGACAATTGACTGATGAGTACTGGTTACAAAAACAGAAGGAAGAGAAACAGGTGAGATTTGATATATAATCAAAATCCAAGAATAAAGTTCCTTGCAGAATGACCCTGACAGGAGGCCATATGGTCAGTGACTAATTCTGAACAATAACAAATATCCCAGTATCTGGAATTTTGCATAGGCGAAATGACCCTAAAGTTAAGCAATGCCAAGCAGTCAAGAGCCATTGGCCGAAAAGTAGCCAAGGTGGCGGGTGCAGATGAAACACCAAAGGAGGTGGAGGAGTTGCCCACACCCATTGGGAAATTTTGGTGGGAGATGCCAATAAGAGAATGAAGAAGTTATCAGGGTGGATTGATACCTGCAACCACTACCCATGGAAAAGGGAGATCTTCCAATTTGGAAATGTAATTAATTTTCAGAACACAGACAGCAGAAAGGGGTTCTTGTTGGAAGATAGGGGAAATACCAAGTTCCCTAACCACCTCATGCCCCATGCCAGTTTTAGGTGACTGTCAATAAATATGAAGCAATCGAAGCAACAATTCAGAATTGTTCCAGACACCAGACAAAAAGACTTCACGTGACTATCTGCCTGAAGAGAAGTTCCGACATCAGCCTTGTACTAAACTTAACCAAACCAGCCAAAGTGTTACATCCGACTTAAGAAGCAGGTTGGGTCGATAACTGTGTGCATGAGAACTGCTAAATTTTAATGATGAAAATAACCAAGTATTCTACCTAAGAACATATATAAAAACATTTATTTTTTACTCAGGTTATTTTTTTTCTTGCATCTTCATTCCACTTGAATCAGCTCAATGCAACAATTCCCAACAATGATTTGATCCTTATGACCAAAACTAATCACATGGGATAAGGCACAGTCTGGATCAAAGCAATCTTCTCATTGATCAGCCATGGGTGTTGAACATTTGGACGACCAGGGAAGGACTTGACAGTTGACTGTAAATGGTATGGTAGGCCCTAGCTGTGAATATCTGAAATGGTGGTGCTAAGGAATGTCTGAAAATTTGTCATGGAAATAGCAAAAGAAACTAGCAATGTTCTATTTACACTATTAACATCATTCGGACTGTTTTCTTCATCTTTATTGCCATATTCACGAGAAACAAGCCATCCCCTTAAGATAAGACTGCAAGAACACCATAAAGCTGTAACACAAGAAGAAATAGAAAAAACAAGTATCGCTGGCCATATATGGAGGGAAAAGGATCACTGCACTCTGTGGGATGAAGTTGAAATAATAGACAGAGAACATCACTGGAAAATATGAAAACTTAAGGCCACAAAAATCTCCTAAGCCAGCCAAGCATAAAACCAGTACAGAGAGCTAGAGAAAAACAATAGCATAAATTGTAAAAAAATTAAAACTGACAGATTACATTTAGAAGTCTGCAAAATTCACTCATTCACTCAGTGAATAAAAGCGGTGGTTGAAGTAATCTAAAAAGTGACTTGATCCAAAGAGTGGAGTTCAATACCTGGCCACAGTAGAGGGAACTTGGAGAGTTGAGTTACCAAAGGGAATTAACTACTGAGATATCATACCATGTGAAATTAGAACAATCTACCCCAGTTGATTAGATAAATGGTTTGGTTCGAAATTCCAATGTATATCACCTGAAGACGGTCAGAGAATACAGCGAACAAAACCTCATGAATATTGCAATAAAGATGAGGACAGCAGTTCAAATGATGTAAATGCTGTAAATAGTTACAGAACTAGATACAGATAACAATATTCTGTAGCAAAAAGCTACAAGATGGAAAATATTCACCCTCTAAAAGGTTGTGTACAGTGACTCCCCCGTATATGCAGAGGTTAAGGACATGAATAGTTAGAAAATTATAGTTATAAAAGTGCTTATAAGTATCTATTTTGATTGTTAAAACTCCATATGCCTTAAACTTTCATCCTAAACTCTTTAGAAACATTTCAGACCCTTTTTAAAACATTTTTGAAAAATAGTATTAGTGACCATACACTTAGCATAAATTTTCTTTCATACGTACAATAACCATTTTTAATTATGCATAGATCGATACAACCATTGAAATTACTGTATAAAATATGTGTAACAAGACATAAAATACAAAGTTTAAAATATTTTCTAAAAACAGGACTGTGATGATGCCCCCAGACTTAGCATAAGCCAGTTTTAAGACCCCAGCCGCAGTCCCTAACAAAGAACAAAGGCCAACCACTACATATGTTTTTGCGTTTGTTTTTTACAATGAAGATGTACAATTCTGACAAATTTTTACCATAAAAATGGACTGTTATATGTTTTAAGTCCCTTAAATAACTAGAAAATAATACAAGAATATTTTAAATATTTTCAATCAAAAAAATATTCAAATCGAGGGAGTTCTCAGTGAATAATTTGTACATATGTTCTTCAGAAAAAACACATACATATTCAGGGTTTTTGCGAATAACAAGTACATATGTTCTAAAGAAAAATCCACAAATGTGTGAAGCCACGAATGCTGTAACACAAATAGGCAAGGGTTTACTGTAATTGCTTTTGAACTCTGTCAAGGAT